GTGGCACATCTGGACAGCTAAATTAAGCACATTTAAATGGAAATTGGAAAAATAAATAAATAAAGCCTCACTGGATTCTGCATATTTTGGCCTGGAAACAAGCAAAATATGCGTGTTACAGTCAAGCACAAAATATCTAAAAAATGCAACTTCCAGTTAGGATTCATGGTGAATTAGATAGACATCCCCCGCGGGAATAGGGATGGCAGTCTGGTGAGAATCGTGGCTAGATGGAAATTTCTAACCGGCAAATTTCTCTGGATAAAGAAGAGCATGTGAGATCACCCACGGGCATTCCAGACAGCTGTTTTCCATGAATAAACTGTAGGAACCGAGATTTCTGCACCGAGTTCTTGAATTGAGCAGCTGGAAATCAGGGGATTTCCAAACACTGCCCAATCACAAGGTAGCCTTTATACAAATGAAGTTGTGCCGATGCTCATTTCCTAATCTCTTTCGAAAATTGCTTCTTCATTGCTTTCAACTCTTAAAAACCTTAAGACGATCGCTTTTTTAAAAAAGTGAACGGCAAAAAGGTGATGAAAACATTGATCTGCAAAAGCTACGAATGGTCTGTTTTGACCTAGGCTTCCCCAAAAAGCACAAAGCAGACCCCCTGGTCCTGACAAAACCGCTTTTATTGAACAAACAGTGAATTCCTCTCATTCACCTTCAGCAAAGTCTTTCAGGGGAGAATTTACAGTCAACAGACCTTATCTGGCTTGGAGAGCTGCCAGGCCGATATCTTCAAAACGTGGCAAAGAGTCTCGGAGAGTCACAAACCAATTAGGCAAACTAATTGTCTCCTGCAAACTCCACTCCCCTTTCACTCCTCTTTTATTCCCTCCATTCATTGTCCACCAGTGGCCTTACTCCTGAGTCGACCCTTGTTCCTTAGCTGTTCCCTTCATCTGGCAACTCTGTGCATGTGCACACTGGGAACAGGCTCCAGTTGTTCTTCTGCCCCACTGATGTCTGACTCCAAAGGCAGCTGATAACTGGCATATGGCCCTGGCCGCCTCTCTGCCTCCGATGCAGAGCCTTCGTCAGAGCCTTCCCCAGATTCCAGGATTGGCCCATGTTCCTCCCCAACCTCCTCACTGTCCGAATCTGCAGCCAACGGTTTGTCCGATCCGGTAGCAGATCAGGTGAACTGGATCTGGTAAACCGGTAGCGGTAGCAGTGGGAGGCTCCGCCCACCCGCTTGGATGTCTCTGAGCATGCGCAGAAGCTTCCGTGTATGCTCAGAAGCATCACACACACACACACACACACACACACAGGTGCCCGTGAGCGAACCGGTAGCGAACCAAATTGAAACCCACCACTGGGGGAAATGGACTGAAAGCAAGCACAACTACATGACGCAATCTGGCCGCTCTGTGGGACTTAGATGCAGTGAGATAGCAGTAGATATAGACTGATTGCTTCTTTAATCTAGTGAAAAGAAGGACTAGGGGTGACATAATAGCATTGTGTTCCAATATCTCAGGGGCTGCCCCAGAGAAGAGGGAGTCAAGCTATTTTCCAAAGCACCTGAAGGCAAGACAAGAAGCAACGGGTGGAAACTAATCAAGGAGAGAAGCAACTTAGAACTAAGGAGAAGTTTCCTGACAGTGAGAACAGTTAACCAGTGGAACAACTTGCCTCCAGAAGTTGTGAATGCTCCAACACTGGAAGTTTTTAAGAAGATAACCATTTGTCTGAATTGGTGTAGGGTTTCCTGCCTGAGCAGGGGGTTGGACTAGAAGACCTCCAAGGTCCCCGTACAACTCTCTGATTCTGTTCTGTTATTCTGTTATATGTTTACATGATCCCTACTGCTGCCAGTGGCAACAAGAGTCAGGTCAATTTCAGTGCTGTATACTCAGAAGGAAGTACCGTGAAATTCAGCGAGATTTAATTTGGGTGTCTTTAGCAACATCGGTTTTACTGAACCACATTCTACAGGGATTTTTCGCCCCCTCTCTTTACTACAATTCCTAGAACTTCCTGAAGAAGAGTGGGTGGTAAGGGATATATTTGTGTTTGAGTAAGTCACTCAAAGTCACTTAGCTTGCACCATCCTACATGTCGCTGAGAAACCAACTCTGGATGCCAGAGTGTCTATGTCAGGTGTTTTCCCCACATTCAGCAAAATTCCTTGCAGGTGCCTTTGCAAAACTAATCGCCTTTCCTCCTGTTTTCCCCCTGCGCTGCCCATAGGGTCTAAATTCACCCCCAGGGCATGGAATTTGGGCCTGGAAAACACCAGGGAGCCTCCCCAAATTGCAGGGACTATGAAGAACGGTTGCAGGAATTGGGTATGTCTAAAGCTATGGCAAATCTAGACAGCATACCAAAAAGCAGAGACATCACCCTGCCAACAAAAGTGCGTATAGTCAAGGCTATGGTTGTCTCAGTTGCAATTGATGGCTGTGAAAGTTGGACCATAAGGAAGGCTGAACGCCAAAGAATGGAGGCCTTTGAACGATGGTGCTGGAGAAAACTCCTGCGAGTCCCTTGGACTGCAAGGCCATCCAACCGGTCAGTCCTAGAGGAGATCAAACCCGACTGCTCTTTAGAAGGCCAGATCCTGAAGAGGAAACTCAAATACTTTGGCCACTTAGTGAGAAGGAAGGACTCCTGTCAAGTTTCCGAAAGATGCCCTAATTAATTCATGAGCCATGAAAATATAGTATTTTATTAGGAGCAACATTCCGGCAATACTCAGATGCAGTTAGGACTGATCCTACGTAGATTTACGTTCCCCTATGACCCTGTCTCTCCCCTCCTCTCTGGCCATGTCATAAATCACATTCTCCAATTAACCACTTTGGCTGGCTGTGAAACCTAACACCCTCCTTCTGATTGCGGTCAGGAAGAATGTATGGAATTCACTTCAGTTCTCCCTCCCTCCTGCTCATGGCAACTTGAAAGCTTTGCAAGTTGACAGACTCCCTGGAGAAGAGCCTAATGCTGGGAAAGATTGACGGCAAAAGAAGAAGGAGATGACAGAGAATGAGGTGGCCGGATGGAGTCACTGAAGCAGTCAGCGTGAGCTTAAATGGACTCCAGAGGATGGTAGAGGACAGGAAGGCCTGGAGGAACGTGGTCCATGGGGTCACGATGGGTCAGACACGACTTTGCAACTAACAACAACAACAAAAAGTCTAGTGAAAGGAAAAGCTAGGGGTGACATGATAACAGCCTTCCAGTATTTGTGGGGCTCCTACAAAGACGAAGGGGTCGACCTATTTCCCCAAAGCACCAGAAGGCAAGACAAGAAACTAATGGAAACTAAAGGAAAAACTAACCTAGGAGAATTTTCCTGAGGGTTAGAACAATTAACCAGTGGAAAGGCGTGCCTCCAGAAGTTTTGTGGGTGTTCCAACATTAGAGCCTTTTAAGAGACTGGACAGCCATTTGTCTGAAATGCTATTGGGTCTCCTGCTTTTGGAGGGGACTAGAAGACCTCCAAGAACCCTTCCAACTCTGTTATTCTGATGTAGGTGACTGTGAGTAAATCCAGGACGCCAGTTAGCAGGCCAATACGATCTAATGCTTATGCTGTTTACGCTGAACTAGAAATACCCTGGTTGAGATTGTTATAAAAATGAATGGTTGCAGGAACTGGGCATGACTAGTCGAGTGAAGAGAAGGACGAGGGGAGACATGATAGCAGGGTTCCAATATTTGAGGGGCTGCCACAGAGAGGAGGGGGTCAAGCTGTTTTCCAAAGCACCTGAAGGCCAGACAAGGAATAACGGATGGAAACTGATCAAGGAGAGATTCAAGCTAGAAATAAGGAGGAATTTTCTGACAGAAGGACCAGGGGAGACAGGATAGCAGTCTTCCAATATTTGAGGGGTTGCCATAGAGAGGAGGAAGGGGGTCAAACTATTTTCCAAAGCACCCAAATGCCAGACAAGTAATAATGGATGGAAACTGACCAAGGAGAGATTCAACCTAGAAGTAAGGAGAAATTTTCTGACAGCGAGAACAACCAACCCATTGAACAGAAGTTGCCCCCAGAAGTTGTGGGAGCTTCATCCCTGGAGGCTTTCAAGAAGAGACTGGACTGCCATCTGTCAGAAATGGTGTAGTAGGGTCTCCTGCTTGGGTGGGGGGGGTTGGACTAGATGACCTCCAAGGTCCCTTCCAGCTCTATTCTCTACTGATTGATTCAACCTGGAAATAAGGAGAAAATTTTTTTTCTGACAGTTGAGAACAATCAACCCATGGAACACAGAAGTGGCCTACAGAAATTGTGGGAGCTTCATCCCTGGAGGCTTTTCAATTAGAGATGTTTCAGAAACGTTGTAGGGTCTCCTGCTTGAGAGGAGGTGGGTCGGGGGTTGGGGTAGACGACCTCCAAGGTCCCTTCCCAACTCCGTTCATCTGTGCAATCCGGCGCCTTTACCCACTGAGCCTCTTAACCCGGCGAGCCACCGCGTCCCTTGTGTTAAATCCGGCAAGGAGGCGCAATTGCGCTTCTCCAAAAACGGGAGGCTACCCATGTCACCGCTTTCTGGTCTGGTTTTTTTGTTTTTTTTTTTTGTTTTTTTTTGTTTGTTTATGTTTTTGGTCCCGTTTCTCACCACTCCAGATCTTTAACTCTCCTCTTTCCGGTCTTTCCCCGCCCTTCGCAACGGGGACTTTCCTTTCGGTTCCTCTTTGGCCAGTTTCACCCTACAGCAAGGAAAAGGCACGCGAAACCTCCTTTTTTTTTTTAAAACCCCCCCCCACTCCCCCCCAGGGGCTGAGTTCTTTCCAAAGCCCCCCCCCCCCACCTCCCCAGTGTCTCTCCAAAGAGAGTAGGTGCGGCAACATAAACCCGGCCGGGGAGAATACTACGAGGCGTGGTTCCACCCCCACAATCCGTGGCTCCGGGAGGATGGGCCAGCCTGCCTGCCCGCCTGCCCAATTTCAGCCTCTTTATAACAGGGGTTTCCAAGCCCGTGAGCCACATCTCTGTGGTCCTTTGGGGCATCTCCCTTCGGCGCGTGGAAGTCATCATCATGCCATTCGGGGAGCTGAGAAGCGCGTCGGGAAGAAGCGGCGGCGGCGGCGGCTGCAACAGGTGCGGCCGCTGTTGCAAGAAACGCGAGGTCGAAGCGCTGCGCTGCCTGTGCGGGCTGGGTTTCCTGGGGATGTTCCTTTTGGCTCTGCCGGTGCTGTACTTGATACGAGCCAAGGCTGTCGAAAAAGCCGAGGAGGTAAGGAACGGCTTGGCTTGGCTTTGCGCCTCGCTTCTTCCAGATGTGCTTGGAAAGAGCCTCCTGGGCTTTCCCAGCTGGCGAGGATGGAGTGGATGTGCGCGCCTTGCCTTGGAAGCATAGTGCAGCTATCAAGTTGTTTTTATATTATTATTATTATTATTATTATTATTATTATTATTATTATTATTATTATTATTTAATCTTTAGTGAGATTCACAGCCTTTGAGGCTGGTTAATAGCTCAGCAGCTCGAGTCCTAACCAAGGACCTAGGAACTGTTAAGGTATCGTCGGAGGATGTAAGCTGTTCCGAGTAAGCTGTTCTGTTTTTTGTAGAGTCAAAATGTTCAAGTCCGGCAAATTTAGAATTTCTAAATAGCGGGGTAGCCCTTTGGGTATTGCTCCGAGGGCTCCAATTACAATCGGGACAACACACGATTTCTTTTTCCACAGTCGCTCAACTTCAATTTGTAAATCCCGGTACTTTGTGATTTTTTCTTGCTGCTTATCTTCAATTCGTGCATCACCAGGTATTGCAATGTCAATGAACCATACTTTTTTCTTTTCAACTATTGTTATGTCAGGTGTGTTGTGGACCAAGTGCCTGTCAGTCTGAATCCTAAAGTCCCACAAGATCTTGAGTTTCTCATTCTCTAAAACTTTCTCAACCTGATGTTCCCAGTGGTTTTTGCTGTACTCAAATCCAAACTTCTGGCACAATTTCCAGTGAATGATTTTAGCAACACGGTCATGGCGTTGTAGGTAGTCAGTTTGTGAAATTTTGCTGCACCCACTGATCAGGTGGTCTATTATTATTATTATTATTATTATTATTATTATTATTATTATTGGGATTCAAATAATTTAACAACCGGTTCTCTGCCTTAATGATTTCTTCCAACAACCAGTTCACCAAACTGCTCAGAAAGTTATCAACCGGTTCAGTGCGAACTGGCTGAATCCCATCACTGATGATTCTATTCCTGTTCTGTTCTGTTCTGTTCTGTTCTATTCTTATTTATTTTATTTATTTATTTATTTTATTCAATTTATATACCGCCCTTCTCCTAGTGGACTCAGGGCGGTGCACTCAGGGCGGTGAACTATTCTATTCTAGTCTAGTCTAGTCTAGGCTTAATCCTTGTAGTAAGGGAGGAATGTAGAACGTGCAACCCAAGATTGTGCCAAAAGGTGCTTTTCTTTCAAAAGGCAACTAGATTTCCACCCACCCACCCCTACAACCCAGTTGAAGATGTGTCGCTTCTCATCTTGAGAAGCTTCTTCAGTTTTTCAGAACAGAACTGGAAAGGAGCTGAAGAAGTTGCTTCTCTGAAGGAGAAGCCAAAACGTCTTCAAGGAAAAAGAACAAAGTCCAGCTGCCTTTGGAAAACAGGGGGGGGAAGGGGGAGGAAGTACCATTGGGATAACCATTAACAGATCTTTAACAGATTAACAGAAGGGACCTTGGAGGTCATCTAGCCCAACCCACCCACTCCCACTCCACCCAACCAAGAGACCTGATACCATTTCTGACAGGTGGCAGTCCAATTTCTTCTTGAAAGCTCCCACAACTTCTGTTCCATGGGTTGATTGCTCTCAGTGTCAGAAAATGTCTCCTTATTTCAGGTTGAATCTCTCCTTGTTCAGTTTCCATCCATTGTTCCTTGTCTGGCCTTCGGGTCCCTTGGAAAATAGCTTGACCCCCTTCCTCCTCTCTGTGGCAGCCCCTCAAGTATTTGAAGATGCTCTCCTGTCTCCCCTGGTCCTTCTCTTCATTAGACTAGCCAGGCCCAGTTCCTGCAACCGTTCATCATATGTTTTAGCCTCCAGTCCCCTCATCATCTTGGTTGCTGGATGGTTGAGAATCTCCCTTGACATACAATCATAGGATTGGAAGGGAACATGGAGGTCTTCTAGTCCAACCCCCTCTGCCCATGGCAAGAGATCCTATACTGTTCTGGACAGATGTTTCCCATCTCTTCAGAGAAACGTATGGAAGAGAAGACCCTGTTGGTCATGTGTTGGGTTGGGGAATAGGAAGGACCCTTGAGGAAGACTCTGAAGTTCAACCCAGTGGTTGCCCATTTCTGCCACGCCCAAGAACTCCATCAGACCGGCTGGTTGGTGGGACAAGAAAAAAGGAAGGACAAAATGAGGAAAAGGAAGGGATTGCTTGGAAGATGGGAAAAGCCATTGAGCTAAGTTCTCCTACAGGGATCTACAAAAGGAAGAAGGAAAATGAAGGGTCTTGTGTCCAAATGTGGTCGGAAGCCCCATTCCCCTTCTCTTGCTTTTCTCCTGCTAGTTTTCTTCACTTCCCAAACTCGGACTACTTCAACTGGATTGGAGCCCATCCATTTGAATAACAGCCAGACCAAGAAGTTCTTAAGTTGTTGAGATGCAACCAGAGCACACACTGGCTGCCACAATCAAAGTAATCCATCAGGTATGATGGATTACTATGGTTGATAGTAACTGATAGATGATAAATTGTTGATAGACAACCACTTGTCCAGGATGATTTGAAGTCTCCTGCCTTGGGCAGGGGTTGGACTAGAAGACCCCCCAGGGCCCTTCCAGTCATGTGAGTCTAAGAATATCCTTAGATCCCTTTGATGGATTATTATTATGGTTCACTGCAAGGTCAGCCAGATGTTGAGACTGGATTTGGCATTTTATCCCTCTACTGAATCCTTCCCAGTTATTAATATGGTTCCAAAATCAAAAATGTCTGTAAATTAAACCAAGTTAGAAGATTAGGGGACTGGAGGCTCAAACATACGATGAACGGTTGCAGGAACTGGGCATGGCTAGTCTAGTGAAGAGAAGAACCAGGGGAGACAGGATAGCATCTTCCAATATTTGAGGGGCTGCCACAGAGAGGAATGGGCCAAGCTATTTTCCAAAGCACCTGAAGACCAGACAAGGAATAAAGGATGGAAACTGATGAAGGAGAGATTCAACGTAGAAATAAGGAGAAATTTTGTGACAGTGGGAGCAATCAACCCATGGAACAGAAGTTGTGGGAGCTTCATCACTGGAAGCCTTCAAGAAGAGCCTGGACTGCCATCTGTCAGAAATGATGTAGGGTCTGATTGGGTGGGGGGGGGTTGGATTAGATGACCTACATGGTCCCTTCCAACTCTGTTAATCTGTATTTAGAAGTGGCTTAAAGCATCTCGAATGAACAATTTGGAAAGCAATTGGAACTCGGAGCTCCTTGATTCCAAGCACAATTTTCTGTATGGTGGTGTGATGCATTGCTGGAATTGTAGCAGTGGAGTAGAATTTTGGCCCCGAACCAAACTGGTATATTGCCAGAGCACCAGCTGTGGTTTTGAACTTCCAAGTTTCCAAAATATACCAGGTTTTTTTTTTCTTTTTCCCAAGAGAGATTCAGAGACGTCTTCCCTGCTGCCGTAAAGTATTGAAGGATCTCCCTTTGATGGATGATTTCCTGTGATCTCATTTCCTCCTTCACTAGAATGGATATGTAGTTTTCCACTCTGCAAAAAAAAAAAAAGGAGGCAGCCGGTTGCAAGAAGTTATTTCATGCTTCCGTCTGCCAAATGCTGAACAGGGAAACTACGAAATGCTGTTGTGTTTAAGTTCACCAAAATATGCATCACATACAGTTGGTCAGCTGTTGTTTTGCTGTGTCACGTGTCCTCTACTCTACCCCTTCATTTTTACTTGCACATGTTTGTGTGTTCGCTTGCTAATCGTTCCATCCCTCGCCCCAAAGGAAATTAAATTTTACAATGTTCGGCAGGAGAATAGCTGGAGAGAAGTGAAAAGCGTCAGTGAGCTAGCCATGCCTATTTTGAAAAATAAACGCTGATAGGCTGCAGGGTCCTTGAGGCTCTCTCAAAGCTCGGTGGCTTTCTTGCAGACGTTTCATTACCCAATTATGTAGCCTCGTCAGTGTTAGGGATTTGTGGAGGAAGAGGAGGAGGAGGAGGAGGAGGAGGAGGAGGAGGAGGAGTTGGAGAGGGAGAGGGTGTTGGAAAAGGAGCGATAAGAGATGGAAAGGAGAAGGAGGAGTGGGAGTGGGAGTGGGAGAGAGGAGGAGGGGGAGAGGGAGGGGGAATTGGAGAAGGAGCTGGAGAGGGAGTTGGAAAGGGAGAGGGAGTAGTAGTAGTGGGGAGTGGGAGTTGGAAAAGGAGATGGAGAAGGAGAAGCCAAACAGTGTCGACTGGCGGCCCCTAGGGGGAGAGCCTTCTCTGTGGGGGCACCTACCATCTGGAATGAGCTCCCCCCGGAGATACGGAGGATCCCGGATCTGCGCTCCTTCCGCCGTGCTGTGAAGACCTTTTTATTCCATCAAGCGGGCTTGGCCTGATCTCTTCCCTTTTTAAATACGTAAATTTTAATCTGTTTTTAAATTATTGGGGCATTTTAATTTGTCTGGGCCAAATAATTTAATTTGATTTTATCGGGTTTTTAAATTTTGTGTATTTATGTATTTTATTGTTGGCTGTTCACCGCCCTGAGTCCTTCGGGAGTAGGGCGGTATACAAATCAAATAAACCTAAACCATAAACCTAGAGGGAGAGGGAGAGGGAGGAGGAGATGGAGATGGAGATGGAGGAGTGGGAGTGGGAGAAGGAGTTGGAAAAGGAGAGGGAGAAGGAGAAGGAGAGGGAGTTGGAAAGGGAGAGGGAGTTGAAGAGGGAGAAGGAGATGGAGGAGGAGTGGGAGAAGGAGAAGGAGAAGGAGAAGGAGAAGGAGAAGGAGAAGGAGAAGGAGAAGGAGAAGGAGAAGGAGAAGGAGAAGGACTGTGGGGCTCTCTGAATCCGGTTGCTTTCTTGCAGATATTTCATTACCAAACTAGGTGACATCATCAGTGCAGCTGATAGACTAGGGCTACAGCCTCCGACATTACCAAGATGCTGATTTCAATCGCTGGACCTACCAAGTGTGCGGTTGAATCTTTCAGTCCTCTCTATATTTTGGGCTGTTCGCCTAACAGCTGAAAGGCGCATCGATGTTTTGCCTC